AAACACCGCCTACATCTGCCGCCGTCGTCTTGGTATCGGCACTGACTGCAGTCAACTGCTGCTCCTCCTCGACTTCGCAAACCTCAATCATCCACACCGGTCCAAGACTCGACGAAACTCCCAAGAGACTGAGCGGGGCCCCTGTTGAGCTAGCCATCCTGCCGTTTACTCTCTTGTTGCTCTTGCTCGCCCACCATTGTTCTCTGCATTTACCGATTCAGTTTCCTTACAAGAGGGTTTCCTTCCAGCGCGCCTCCTTAGTTTTCCATCCAAGCACCCGTCCGATCCCTCTGAGAGACGAAAGCCCACGGGCGAATCCCAAGCGCGATACACACAAACCGTGACAAAACACCCACGGCCGCCTATTACCCGACGAATCGAGCCTGGAGGGGCAATTCACGACCTTGCCTCGGCAAAACATTCACCGATTTTTGGAGGACCGGAGAGGATCAAACACCATACACACAAAGAGGGGGATATCACAGCTCGGTTCGCCGGTCAAATTGATATGTCATGGATAACTCGTCTACGCCCCTCGCCGACTACTTCTGGATCGCCGGCATAGAAACAATCACCTACGATGACGACAGACAGGAAGAGAACCTCAGCGCTTCGCTGGACACACTAGAAGACACCATTATTGAAGATGGAGAGGGAGAGACAGAAGGAGAGGGTGAGCTAGGTGACGCGTCGGGCATTTCCTCTCCACGCGCCGGTGGCCATCCCCGCCATTCTCGCCAGAACTCGGGGAACCGCTTGTCGGCACTCTCCAAGCTCTCCTTCAACCCGTCGCTGTCAAGCGATAATGACATCGAAGGTAACACCAGAAGTAACAGAAGCAGCGCGACTATCCGACCCATGCCCCTCCCCAACTTCGGGAACGGTGCCGGCAATGGTAACTCCAACAACACGTCCAACGGAAATGCCGCCAATTCCAACAACACCAACGGTGCCAGTGCCAATGGCGTCAGTGGCACCAATGGAAACAACAAACCCTCGCCCGCCGCGTCCCCGAACCCGAACCAAATACCCATGTTCGATGCCCTCGGCCAGATCCCGATCCAAGACGGCTTTCTTTCCGACCTCGACTTCGACAAGGCCCTCCTCAAGTTCGCCGCTGAGAGGGAAAACTTCCTTGACGATCTTACCTTCAGCGCTGGCGCTAAGCTCCAGTCGAGGCCACCCATGGTGAACCCTAGAACCGAGAAGCTGAAAGTGGACGACGACCAGAGCGGCCGAAAGAGCCCCCTTAAGAGCATCCGTGGAAGCATCCGCCGCAAGATTAGTTTTAGGGACATGAGCAGTGCCAGGAAGCAGCCCATGACTCCCAGAGCAGGTACTAAGCCCACCGAATCAACCCCCCGTGTCATCCCCAACCCGTATCGGGCCTATACTCACCCACCCTTACCCTCAGCCTCCATTCGGACAGCAAAGCGCCTAAGCAACTATAACTCGGTCATCCCGCCCCCGGAACCCCTGAACGCAGACCCGGACATGCACCCGCTTAAGAGGCGGTTCGAACCGGTCTTACTGGACAGGTACCCTTCGCGCGATGCCACCGTGGACGAATTGTCCAGGAGAGGCCGATTCCCGGACTATGTGCCCATGTTTGCCTTCCCCAACGACATCCAGATTGTTTCCTCCGACGACCGCCCCCGCTCGACATGGCACGGCTTTACCATGACCTCGGATGACAACTCCAAGATCTATGGAATCTGCATAATCGTGTGGACCGCGCTGGACGCCGAGACGGCGGAGAATGTCGAAAAGAGATGCGAACAATGGCGGCAGAGGCATATGAGCAATGAGGAGCGGGAGTTGGCCGCAAGCTTGGGCATCCGTTTGGCAGCGGAGCGTGCTCATTTGTCACAGTTGCTGTCACAGCTGCCGTCGATTCCTTCGGGATCTGCTGCTAGGGAGTCGCTGGATGAGCAAATCAGCTCGGTCGAGGAGAAGATCAGCCTGATGACGGAGATGCTGAGGCCGCTCAGGCACGGAGCCGCGTCCAAGATTGACGGCCTCACGGCTGGCGAGACCGGTCTTTGGGTACCGAGGGCTTACGGAATCCTTGGCAGGGATCCATCCAAGATGACGTTCTGGAAAGAATGGCTCCGAGCTGTCACCGTACCCATGACGGACGGGGCCATTTTGAGGGTTCCTCCAAGCTCTCCCAAGATTGGGCGGTGGCAGCCCCTTGAACGCTACGTTGTTAACCTGTGCACCGAGGCATTCAGCCCCCTCAGTTCGCTCACCCAAGTCGAGCTGGGCGTACGCGAATTGCGGCTTTATGCCCGCAAGGAGGCTGCCAATGAATTACCAGGATCGCGCAACATCGACATCTATGCCCTGTTCAGATGCTTGTCACTGGAGAACATTGTGCTCTTGTTCGAGTATGCCATGTCCGAGTCGCGAATCATCTTCCTATCATCCCACACAGGCATGTTGCACCTCGCTTGTCACGCCTTGGCGAACCTGCTGTATCCCCTGAAATGGGCCAGCATCTTCATTCCTGTGTTACCCGCTCGGCTGATATCAGCCCTCGAAGCCCCGTGCCCCTACATTGTCGGCATTGAGCGGCGGTACGAGAACATTCAACTACCGGACGACGACTATGTGCTTGTGGATCTTGACAAAGACATCATCGATGCCACGGCACAGGCCGTCCCGCTCCCGCGCCAACACAGGCGCAAGCTCATGTCTCTGCTGCAAATCGCGGCTCCTCACAAGCTGCGGTACGGTGTGGCAACCGGTCCGCCACCTTACGCGATCGAGGCTTTCCCCTATGATGCATTTTCCGCGGAAAACGAGGCGCTATTCAACCCAACAGCAAAGGCGAGCACTCTGGGCAAATGGGTGACACAGAATTCATCCACGTTTGCCGAACCAGACCCGCCAAACAGCATGCGCACCCCCCTATTCAACGCATTCTCGCAGGCGAGACCAGACTCTGGGCACGGTCGTCCCACAACCTCAAAGTCAGGTAAGGGGAGCCCGCCCTCGTCTGTATCGCCTGTCTCGATGCATTTCCCGCCGTTGCCTACAACACCCGTGTCGCGTAGCGACTCTGGGTTCGCTGTTGCGGCAACCTTGAGAGAAAAGCGCTCGGGACACTTTGATGAGAAGTCCAGACGTAGTTCGTCTTTTGGTATGGATAAGAACGGACCGCCTCACCCACCACTCCACAGGCCCAGTCTGCCTTTCTTGATCGGGCACGCGCAGAACCTTTCGATATCGTCCATCTCGATCGATTCACAATCCTCATTCGGAGCGTATGCCCCCTCGACCTATGCGCAGTCAACCATTGCTGCGTCTACCATTATGCCCAACATGATGGTCCAGCCTGTCAAGAACACGGAGAACACAGTTTGGGTTGAGGGTCACTGCTTCAACTGGACTCCTAGCGAGAAGGATTCCTTCTGCACCATCTGCGATGATCGGTCGGAGGGTAACGGCCTCTACAAGTGCAGTGGCTGCAACTGTCTTGCCCATAACCATTGTCTCGGTTTTGCTTCGTTGGTGTGCCCGTCAGCTTTCCACCCGGATCGTGTTAGAGCCGCATTCATCCGTTGCATGGCAAGCTTGCTTTACACTTATAGAAAGCACCTTGGACGACCTAGTAAGGAACAGAAGGCGAATGGTCAGCATTATGCCTTTGATATGGATGGGTTCATCAGGAGTCTGCCCTACGATCAACAGGATTATGCGACCATGCTGAGGGATACACAAGGTATGTTCCACTATCTCTGCTGTTACCATGTGATCTGATAACTGACCGGTCTGTAGCGTTTAACGAATTCGTTCACGAACGCGAGAGAATACCCCCATCTGACCCCGCCATCCGGCTATTCGACGAAGTCATCCTGGCCAAGAAGGCCCGCGGTCGTCCCGCCTTTTCTCAAGGTCTCTCCCGTCTTTCCACCATCCGTGCCTCTCACGGCGTCTCCGCTTTTGGGCCGAGCAGCGCGAGCGCAGCAAGACAGAATAAGAATCCGGGGTACCTGAACGACGCGTCGGACCACATTTGGCGGACCGCCTCGGTACCAGTGCCCTCCTCGACCAAGTTCAACGACGGAGACAACTACAGGTCCATCGTCACCCGCGTACCGGCCAGGCTGGATCCCACATTGATGAAGGAACCAAGGGCAATACAAGGGGTGCCCAGGCCTGAGCAAGGGCGGGTGAGGGGGCTGATCAGGAAGCAAGTGGCCAGCATGCTTGGACCGCCTGCAGATTTCAAGGTTCCACAATAGATCAGACCAGACAAGCAGCACTGGAGGCAGCATAGCATATACGGCGCTTTTTGTATGGGCTGAATTGTGTCAAAGAAACTCGTAGTAACTGTATAAGTTGTAATTTGCGTTGCGGTTGTGGATGGTGGTGGTCTGGCGCGGGAAAGAAGCTGTTGATAATAATTATGTATTTCTTTTTGGTTTTGCCATTCTGGCTGTGGAAGAGTAGCAAAAGCGGGTGCGGTTGGGAAGCTGGGGTTAGGATGAAGGTGGGAACATAGGGACGGTGGCATAAGGGATTGATATTGAATTGTGTGTTCATTTTTGCCTGGGAGAAACACACATACAACACATCACACATTTGCGTCTATGGATTGGTTATCATACTTACTCACACGCTTCCGCACATAGCATCCACAACAAAGAATACAGAGAGACACACAGAGAGAGAGTATAAAGGTGATATGGCCTTGTCCTTGACGGCTATAGAGAAGGCATGCACGGGTGGTAGGTTGGGAGAGAGATGGAAGAAAAGCAAAGGACGGGGAGATTGTACATTGGTGTAAGGAGACCAGAGAAATAAATGTTGCATATACCGTGAGAATCATACAAAATAAACTTTCGATACAAATAAATACCATACATAACAACGGGTATAAAGGCGCGATGCTGTTTTTCATAAAGATCATGCTCGCCATAACAATCATTGCTTTCCCATATCCGCCGAGCCCAGAACTAGCAAATAAATAAATCAACTTTATTTCCCCCAACCTAAAGATGAGGAACACCAGCACTCTGCATGATCAAGTTCACAATACTCAGGAAACCCTCGCCGAGGATGAAGCCCTAGAAAAAAGAAGTAAAAACTTGTTAGCAACCGGTCTCTTCCAGTCACCTAAGAGTAAGTAAGAAACGAAACAGAAAAGAAAGAAAAAAAAACTTACCGAAGCCAAAACAATCAACGGCGTATCCTGCCACCCCATCACGCCCTTCCACCACCACCCCAGCAACCCGCCAATCGTCCTCGCAATCGTAAAACTAGGCACATTGTACATACCCACCGCCACCGCGATTCCTCCAGGTATCAGGGCCTGCCACTTCTTACCCTTCTCGCCACCGAGTTTATCAACGATAACGATCCTTGCAGCCGTAGTGACAGCGAACAGCGCCGCAGAACCGATCGCCCACTCCTTCGCCATGGGCGGCAGACCTTCGCCAGTTACTAAACGAGCGGTGAAGATCCACACGTAGCCCGTGGGAACCTGGAATAACGGACCGGGGATGGTATAGACAACCGTGTAGAGCTTGTAGATGAAAGCGCTGACGACGGCGCCGACGGTGGCGCCGATGACTTGCCCGTAGAACTGGGCTTTGGGGGCGGCGCCGAGGAGGTGGCCTGTTTTGAGGTCTTGCATGAGGTCACCGGCTTGGAGGGCGCCCGCCTCGGAAACAGCTCCAGCAACGAGATTGATCAGGACGCTGTTCTTGTTTGACTGCGGGATGATGAACGCGAAGAATAGCTGTGCCAGCTTGCTGATGCCCGACACCGGGTTCAGATCGGTCTCGCCCAACGCCCGGACGCCCATGATGCTCAGCACCAGCGCCATGAACACGGCCGTGACGGTGGCGTAAAGGGGCACGAGGTTGCCAAACACAAAGTGGATGCAGCCGATGCAGAAGACGATGGAAAGCACCAACCCGATGGCGACGGTCTTGTCGCTGACTTGCTGGTCGGCGGGGCGTCATCGTATTCCTCATCCTTTTCTTCTTCGAGATCTTCCTCGTGGATGAGGTTCAGGCCTGAAGAGTGTCGTTGTCTCAAACCACTGTACCCGCTGTTTAGGTGGGTGTACTCCTCGTTGTCGTTGTCGTCATCGTCGGAGTTCGAAGCCTCGCTGATATCGGAAAGTCGTCTCCCTAACCTTGGTCTCGTCGGCCCTCCGGTGCTGATGGCCCTATAACCCGACCTCGCCACTGGTCTTCTCGTCTTATCGCCCCGGCCCAAAGCCTCCTTCGCCTTTTGCACGATGCCCCGTCCTTGAATCACAGCCCACCTAACCGCCTGTCTCACGCCCTGGACTCGCACTACCGACCGCCCAGCCAGCCACCCCAAACTGACTACGGAGTCAGCCAGCATGATGGCCAAGCTGACCCAGACAATCCACCCTTTGCTTCCCTTTTCCCAGTCATCCACATCGCCCGGCGCCCAGCCCCGGTTCTTCGCCAGCGGTGAGAGCACGCCCCATCCGATCACGGCCCCCAAAAGCATGTGCAGCGTCGTGGCGGGACCCATGATGATGCCCTGTCCGACATAGGCCAAGCTGGGGTTGAGCGTCCACAGCCAGGTCGTGGCGAGGTAGCTGCCGAAGATGGGAATGGACCTGAGAGCCGGGACGAAGTACGTCGACAAGGTGAAAATGCCCGAGACAAGGAAGCAGACCAGCAGCAAGTTCAGATTCCGTTTCCACGAAGCCGAGTGAGGTTCCGCCGCCTCCACCTCTTCCCTCCCCGTGTTGTTGTCGTTGTTGTTGTCACCCGACCCCGAAACAGCAACAACAGCGCTGCCTGACTCCTCCTGCGCCGCCAAGCTTGCAAAAGTCGCCGGATCCTCATGGCTCTCGCTCTCGCTCACCTTCTGCCTCGTCTTGCCATGCAACACCGATATCAACACCGCGGTGCTGAACCCACTGGGAAACTTGAGCTGCTCGCGAATAATCACCTGTCTCCTGAGGGGGACCCCAAACACCACCCCGAAATAACACAATCCCAACCCCCAAATCACCAACTGCCCCAATCCCAAATCCAGCCCTCCCTTCCCGTTACTACCCCCTCCGGACTCCTCGTCCCTTAGCAAAAATTGCATCGCCGGAATAACCCCCACGAAACCGCACCCCAAAGGCATGATAGCCATCGACCCCGCCACCGTCTGGACCAAAACATTCTCCACGGGGCTAAATGGGAATTTGAGGCGTTGCGTCAAAAGTCTAAAAACGCCGAACCCCATCAGAGACGCCGGCATGCTCATGATGCTCACCCATCCCGTCTGCAAGCCGAAGTACATATTGGAGAAGCAGATGATGAGGCCGACGCCCAGGCCGACGAGGACGCCGCGGAGGGTGAAGGATTTGCCTTCTATGAGGGGGCGGGATGGGGAGTGAGGGGAGAGGGAAGGGCCTGAGGAGGATGTGTTTGTTAACGAGGAAGGAGATGGAGATGGAGAGAATGAGGGGGTCAGGGGGGGATTATCCGTGTTGGTGTCCGTGGGCTCGGAGGAGGTGGATGGTGGTGCGGCCGGACCTGGACCCGGACCCGGAGCGGGGGACGGAGACAGTAGCGGGTCGCGGGGCCCGCTGTTGCCGTTGACGCCGCCGCAGCCGCCGTGCGCGACCGTTGCGCCATTGCTGGGTAATTGTGCTGCTCGTTCAGAGCCCAGTAACTATTGTTATTCGAGGGCTAGTTTTGGTTAACAAAGGGAATGTAGAATGATGGTCGTTGGCTGTGTTGTAAAAGTGAGTGAGCGAGCGAGCGGCTGAGTTGCCGCAGTCGTGTGTTGTTGTGAGGAGGAAGGGGAGCCCAGAGAGCAAACAAAGTCAAGTCAAGTCAAGTCGAGTCAAGTCAAGTCAGACAGGCTTGAATAATGCACTAACAGATGACGTGCAATACTACCTGACAAATCAATGGATCCGGCACATCCAAGCCGTTAAAGTTGTCAAGGTAATTCACGGTTTATCAATTATTTATCATATCGAGTCACTCATAAGCACTGCAGCCCACGAGCTATAGAACCCCGCACTTTATACTTACCTTGGGCTAGTTGGACGTTGTTTCTTTTATCTTCAGGTCACATCCGAATATTGGGGTGATATCTTTCAGGGTTAGGGTCATGGGTTAGTGTTCAATACACGTACTGGAGTTCTTAACACCAACAAGCTGAGTGTGGAATTTATATACTGACTTCCTCAAAACCGGCCAGCTAGTCAATCGCTGTTATCATCGAGGCTTAAGATGCTTAGTCCCCAGTTTCAACGTCAACAACGACCCCCTGTTACCCATCTCCGTCCTCCACGCCAGCGCCATGACACCAAACTCTATCCTTCCATCCTTCTCCTCAACCTCAGCCGCGTCTTCTTCCCCGTTTTTCTCCTCAATGATAAAGCACAACTGCTCCGACTCCCCAGGGTGCAAAAACGGTCGTCTAGGAGGCCCTTGGCCTTGACCTTGGCCTTGTTGAGATATCCGATTCCCTTCCTCCCCGGTGGTTGTTGCCCCTATCCCCGCCCAATTACAATCCCTCCACTTCAGTCCCCTCTGCACCTCCGCCAGCTTGACCTTCTCCAGCAGTATCGCGTCCTCAGAGCAATTTTCTAGCTGTGCTTCCAGCACCCATCTCCTCCTTTTTGTCTTGCCAGGCAAAGAAGGCAAGGGCCCGGCTTTCGTCCTAACGATCAGCGACGGCTTGCAGATGAACTGGTACATCTTCCGAAACGCTCTCGTGCGCCCGCTGGTCTCGGTGGCCTCGTAGTACGACACTGTAACCCCCAAAACGTGGGTCCCTTCCTCCTTCAGACCGAAGTTGAGGATCTTTTGGAGGGTGGTGTAGGATGGGAGGAGATCGAGGGTCGCTACTGTTTCTGTTTCCGTTGGTGTTGTCTCTGTTGTGTTATTGTTGTCTTCGTTTCCCGCGTTACTGATGGCGACGTTGTCGTTATCCATGTTCGATGACCCGGCATTATCATCGCCCGCCGTATCAACCAGGACTAGCTTGGTAGATTGTCCCGAAGGAGTTTGCATTTCGGCCTCGATCTTGACGTCGCGGATCGTCTTCTTGACACCATTGGTGACGCTCTCTCCGATTGGCGGGGCATTGTGGTTTGCGCATAGAGTGCAGCTGAAGGTTTCGCCTACGTAGGCAGAGCCGAACGAGGGTGGAAGGTTGACGATGGGAGAAAGGATGAAGGGCTCGGTGTTGTAGTATCCATCTCTTGTCCTTTCACCGCCCCCGCTTTCAGCTCCTTGGCTACCTTCTTCATATTTCTTGATCGGACTGAGCGGGCTGTACGCGAGCGATGCCGGTAGAGGTGGTAGATGGCGAGGTTGTAGAAGGACCGCCGGCGCGGGGCCGGCTACAGGAGAGGTCAAGGATTGCGGAATCACTGGAGGCTGGAGTGGAAACTGCGGCACCAGTGAGGGTCGGGATAATCTTGAAGTTGAAGATCGAATGAATTAGCTACTCGAAGAGAAGAGACCTGGAAATGATGCGACGGTATCAGATCATCAGGCAACGAACTGAACCTACCTCAACACTTTGAGCGACACTGAATGCGGCTCCTTGACCTCATGCGAAGTAAATCGTTGGTGGCTCATATTCTCTCCAAAACAGATATTACCACCAGCTTCTTAGCCGTTCGACTAGAGGTATTATGCAATAGTGAAGTTATTCTGAAGTAGTTTTGAAGAGATGAAGTCTGGAACTCCCGCTCGTGTCCCGTTTGGGGAACGTGAAGTCGTGAATGGACGTAATGCCAAGCCGAAGCTACGGGCGGGTGTGGGCCACGCATGAGCTTGAGTGGAGATCAAATGCGGGCGGCAGGGAGACCTGACTGTGAATTTCAGGGGCCGTTCCGTTCCTGAATACCTTCTATTGATCCAGCTCTTCAGGTACAGCAGCACCATGAAGCTGCTGTTCCACATGCTACTATCACAAACGCAAAGTCATTGACAACGGAGGTAATTCAACCATCGGTCTAGTTAACATGTATTCGTTATGTCTGCTATCTGTCTTCTTATCCGCTGCCTGCCTTCTGCTGAAATTTTGCTACCACTCGTTAACGATAGACACTTACATGAAAAGAAGCATAGAAGCCCAAGAGAGACTGGAGCACAAGCTTGGATATAAAAAGCCCGGCCAAGTGTACCAATCATTAGCCTAACAACTCAACGCTTTCAACCCGAAACTTAGACAAGGTCGCGGGATGTTGACTGTACACATCGTTTTAGCAAACAAATCAAACACCTACCTACCTGGCCAAGTGTCCGTCTCAAACTCTTGGCCACTTCTGGACCTAAGACTTCAATAACAGCAGCATCTCTAGAACCGACGAGTCCAACTATGCGCTCATAACATACCCATTCCGGGAAAGGAGAGAGAACCTGTGCAACAATGTTGGCCAAACGTCACAGAAAACAAAGCTTTTTAGAGACGTCTTACATTGCCTCCCCTATCCACATCACTCATCGGGGACCGCGTCGCTATTGTATTGAGTCAGTGTGCCACCACTTCGTCATGTTTTATAAGTTTAATCGGCCCTCGTCAGGGCGGCAGCCTAGTGTGATGAGATAATCCTGAACAATGAACAACAATCTTTACCCTTGGCCTCAGCCAATTTCTTTCTTTTTTTCTCCTTTGGAGTTCGTATCCCTGCCGAAGCATCAGCTGTAAGAGAATGAAGACCAAACACTAAGCCTAAGCACTCGCTGGCTTTTTGAGCTGCTTTTGAGTTGCTTTTGAGTTGCTTTCTCAGCTGTCTTTTGATGAAGCTGCTGGAGAGACCACTTTCAGAGGCCTGGGGGAGGGGGGACCTGGAAGACAGTTAATACAAGTTTATGATAGTGGCGTGGAGTTTTACATACCGCGCTGTATCCACCAGACATTCCAGGAGGGGCGCCAGGCGGAGGTGGGGGAGGAGCAGCAGAGGATGGGGGAGGGGGCGGAGGGGGAGCTGCTTCAGTAGGAGGCGGAGGTGGAGGAGATGCCGAAGCACCGGGGGCACCGGGAACACCAGTAGCCGCAACAGCAGGAGTTACCTGTCCAGCCTGAGCAGCATACCACTGTTGATAAAGTTGGACATAGCTATCAAACGATTAGCAACCTATCACTTTCAAAGATCGAAATTCACTTACGCTTGATAGCCACCGTATGCAGCATATGGGTCAGCCGCACCAGCTGCAGCATAAGGGTCAGCAGCGGCAGCGCCGCCGTAGTATTGGGCATATTGGGCAGCATAATCCGTTGTCGCCGCTGCAGGAGCCGTAGGAGTAGGGGGCGCAGCCGAAGGGCCACCACCAGGAGCAGGCGAGTTGTTGTAGCTGCTGTGGTGGCTGTTCTCGTGGCCGCCATGATGGTGATCTCTGTTGTTGTTGTGGTTATTGTAGCCACGCCCATGGTAAGAGTCACCACCACCTCTGGGCTCCCGCTCCCGATCACGGTAATCCCTAGGACCGTTGTACTGACGGGGCGGGCGGCTCTTGAACTCTTCATACTGCTGCTTGACGTTCTCCATCAGGTCCTCGCAAAGCTCCTTGGCCTTCTCCACCATTTTGGGATCGGGCCCAGCAACATGCAAATACATCTCGTCTTCGCTCTCGCGGCCTGTTGATGCCTCAATGTAACCGGAGCCACGGCCCTTGATTTGAACGCGGCAGCCAGTCTCTTGCTGGATGTGCTTGACATAAGCGCCACCGTGTCCAACAACCTGGGCGCGGAGGTTGAATCCTGGGACGGGTTCGAGGTTGATGGGAATCCTTTCTTCAGGCCATTTGCGCTAGTATAAAAGTCAGCACTAGTTGGCAAAGCAGGAGGGTTTCAAACTTACACGGCCGTATTCATCACGTTCGACCTGTTCCTGATCCCTGCGACGGAAACGGCGTTCGTCAACGAGCTGGGGAAGTTCTTGTTTCATCATTTCTTCGATCTTGGCAACGGCCTTTTCCAAGCCTTCCTTGGTCGTGCTCGTGACATGCAGATACAGCGGGGGGTTCTGTAGTCAAAAACGTTAGCGATGAGCATTTGTAAGCTAGTTTCGAAAAAATAATCACATACCACAGGTGTAGCCATGCTCTTGTCGGGGTAGTAGCTACCGCGAGTGGTGACATCTTGAAAAGAAAACAGTCAATGAACGGTTCTCCAAACATATAGCGTATACATTGGTGGGCATACCGGCACCAGTCTCATCTTTGATCTGTGTTCAAGCAGCCAAGGTCAGCAGTTGCAAATGTGGATGGCCCTGTGCGAGCTATCGTGCCTCCTGTAAGCAAGAGTATCCCGCACACGATTGTACAGCATCAACGGTGAAGGCCACAAGAGATGCGGCCTTGCGAGAGTTGACACATGATCAGTGGGTTAACCATGGGGTAATTACCATTTTCTGGGTCGAGCCCTTAGTCAAAAGATATCTGTTGCGAAGATCGTTGACTTCGATATCCTTGATGAAGTCTCCATCAGAGATGTACATCTCTCCATTGATGTTCGCGGGGGCACTGCCCTCTCGAGTACCGGCAGATCGAACGGGAGGAACATCGACGTGTTGGATGCCTTTGCGAGCCTGAAGCTGGGCTTGAATTCGTGCAGCAGCGGCGGCTACGAAATTGTCAGCAAAATCCATCTTGTGTGCCTCTATGTAGCGAGATAAATTCTTACCAGCGGCGGCAGCAGGGTCAACTGTTGGCTTTGTCGAATCGGGAGTCGTGCTATCACGGGGTTTCGAAAGAGGGCTGCGGTCGCGATCCCGACCGGAGTCGGGCTTCCTCACAGGAGGAGAACGGGACCGGCGGTCGAAGCGTGATACTCTCTTGGATTCGGGCTCGGTTTGGTCAAATCGAGAGCGCTTCGCGCTGCGGCGTTCAGCGTCGTCCATATTGAGAACGGTTCGGTCGGGTACCGGGGTTGGGTTGTAGATTGTGTCGAATGGGCTGCTAGTCGAGGCGTGGCTTGTCGCGTCGAACAACAGAAATAATTAATGAGGGTCGAATAGGTGGATGTTGGAAGTTCTTTTCAAAGGCGAAAAAAAAAGAAATCGGGCCGCCTGTGTTGATGACCGGTTGGAGTTGGACCGTGACCTTTGAAGACCGACAGGCAGTGCATGCGAGCTTGTCCCGTCAAAGGGAAAGGGTTGGCTGTGGAGATTCGTGAAAATCCACGAGGCTACGAGACGTGGAGCGTTTGGGCGCACCCAAGCCAAAGCCAAGACTGCTTGTGATTCGCTCTTTGGGCCCAAACCGCTGTGGGTCTTTCCCCGGTTTGACGGTTTAGGCCTTCGGTCTCAGCCCGGGCCTGTAGATGGGATCGCAGAAGTGGAAGCGGCAGGTACCGTCGTCGGGCCATGAAGGTGCACGGCGTCCAGTCCGGGTTGGATTTTCTGGAAAGTGCCCGACAGTTCGGGTCTTGATAGAAAACGTTAACCAACACCGTGATTTCAGATCATTCCATCGGCTCAGTTTGATTTCTTCACTTTTGTTATAGATGAATACAATGGCCATATCTTGACATGTGACCTCTAGGCCAACAGGATGAGATAATCTGATGACTGTCTCAGAATTCCTTTCAATATTCTGAGTGTCTGGCCGCCTTCGTCAAGCTACGATACCGATAAGCTAAGGTTGGTAGGTTTTCATGCCCTTGTGCTGACGGGAACATTCGAGGTTCGGCCGGCGGGCAGGCAAATTTGCGACATCACCATTCGGCAACCCGGGCTTGGGGCAACTGGGACTCCTCTCTTTTACATTGGTCAATCCATGTCGGCCTCCACAATCGGCGGTCACATCGGTCACATCGTCAGTGCATCCGCTAGCAACGAGGGCCTGGAGCCACGTCCAGAGCCCTGTGTCAATCACTGAGATCCTTCCATCGAGCTCCGATTCTCGGGTGAGTCACTAGCGGCTGGTGAAAACATATCCAGTGGGTTTAATCCATCCATTTCCTGACCTCGCCGTACCCAAGGTAGCTACCCTCCAATCCATCCCATACATCTTGTATATATACAAACCCCCCAACTCACCACCACCGTAGCATCTCGTCACTCGTCGGCTCCGGATCGATTCTCACGAGGGGCAGCGAAGCAACCTCCCTCCCTCTACACATTACACTCGCGACGACCATGGCGTCTCGCGTGATGTCCGCGCCGCTGCGCCGGATATCGGCGAAGGCGACGTCGACCATTGGCGTCCGGTACAGCTCCCACAGCAGCTCGACCTCTGCCATTGCCTATAAGGCCATCCGTCGCCGCCATGCGCCTCTCCCCGCTGCCGACGCCCCTCCTGCCTGGTCGTCCGCCCAGGCCGCTGTTTCCAACATCCTCTACGAGACTCCTTCCCCCTCGCTCGCCCCTCCCAAGCGTCACATCCTGAACTGCTTGGTCCAGAACGAGCCCGGTGTGCTTTCGCGCGTCTCCGGTATTCTGGCTGCTAGAGGTTTCAACATCGACTCGCTCGTTGTCTGCAACACCGAGGTTGATGACCTCTCCCGCATGACCATTGTCCTGACCGGTCAGGACGGTGTCGTCGAGCAGGCCCGCAGGCAGTTGGAGGACTTGGTCCCCGTCTGGGCCGTTCTCGACTACAGCAAGGCTGCTCTCGTCCAGCGTGAGCTTCTCCTGGCCAAGATCAACATTCTCGGCCCCGAGTACTTCGAGGAGCTCCTCGCTCACCACCGCGAGATCACCGCCGAGGCCTCTGATAACGCCGATGCCGGCAAGCTCGAGAATGGCAGCGAGCCCAGCCTGGAGGACTCCGCCAAGGACTTCCACCCCAGCCGTCTGGTTGTCAGTGAGGCGCTGAGGCACAAGCATGAGCATCTCAAGAGCATCACATACTTCACCCACCAGTTCGGCGGCAAGGTATTGGATATTAGCACTAACAGCTGCATTGTCGAAGTGTAAGTTTGGAATACCCCCCTAGTCGTGCATCATTATTGTGTCAAGTATACTAAAACTTTTACACAGCTCCGCCAAGCCCGTCAGGATCGACTCCTTCCTCAAGCTCATTGCCCCCTTCGGCATTCTTGAGTCCGCCCGTACCGGTCTCATGGCCCTTCCCCGCTCTCCTCTGTACGAGCACGGCGAAGAGACCCATGTGAAGGAGGCCGATGACGTTGTCGATGCCAGCCAGCTTCCCCCTGGTTAAACGAGTTGGTGTTGTGCAAAATGGAAAGGGAAAAAGATGGAAAGGATTTAAGGAGTTGTGGATTGGATTGGTCATTTGGTCCCCTATTTTTTACGCACACTTTGCAGAAATGTCTCTCTATGTGCCTCCCCCATTCTAATAGCTGCAGCGGCGTAAAAAAACACATGATCGAAAGTAGTTGATCAATCTTTTCAAGCACCTTCTCTCAAAAATAATCTTATCCTTCATTGTTTTTACGTTATGACTCCCGCACGTACAATTTTAACTGTCTCTACACAGCAGATACAGTAAAGGGCTCGGTATCTGTTAAGAAGGGAGAAAAGCAACAACTTTTGTGTGTATGTGAGATGATATCGTACATTAACCGATCAATCAACGAACCAAACCAACCCCTGACCCATGGATTACAACGCCTGCCTTACTACTTATGATATGCTTACGATGTAAGAAGAGTGGATGGAATCAAGATGCAACTACCAGAAGAAACCTTGTCATATGATGGCTTCTTGCTTAGAGTATCCTGCCGTTATTGACGACGAAAGCCTCAAGGGCAGCTAGATAAAAGCACACAAAGAGGTTAGCTTGATCTGTCTGCTGTTATCACATCTCAGAGGGGAGGCATGGCATTTCTTCACTTACAGACAGCAGCCCAAAGCCTGTTCTCGGCCTCGGGGAAGACCAAAGACTGAGGACCATAAAAGACCTCGTCATCAACCTCCTCGGGATGCCTAGGCAGGCAGTGCATGAACTTCCAGCCGGGCTTGGCACCGCCGCGCTTAGCCAGCTCGTTGGTGATCTGGAAGCCGGCAAACGCATTGAGGCGCCTCTGGGCCTCGGCCTCCTGACCCATGGACACCCAGGTATCGGTAACCAGGATATCGGCGTCCTTGACGGCCTCCTCGGGAACGGTGGTCTCGATCAGCTTGCCGGGCTTGGCAACACCCTGGGCGGCGCCGAGGATGATCTGCTTCATGCGCTCGGGGATGCCGTAGCCGGCGGGCGATGCAACGGCGATGTCGACGCCTAGCATCACGCAGGCGGTGGCCATGTCGAAGAGCACGTTGTTGGAGTCGCCGACCCATGCGACCTTCATGCCCTCGAGACCCAGGCTGGCCTCGTGAGCGGGCTTGGTGGCGAAGGCCTCGTGGATGGTCTGGAAGTCGGCGATGGCCTGGAGAGGGTGGAAGTCATCGGACAAAGCGTTGATGACGGGTACCGAGCTGTCCTTGGCCAGGTCGGCCACGTCCGAGTGAGGACCAACGCGGGCTACCATGCACGAGGTCATGGAGGAGATAACCTTGGATGTGTCGTACAGAGACTCGTTGACCTGCGGGATGTTGTTAGTATGCACATGTATGTCTCTTTTAGGAAGGAGGAGGAGGACGATAGGGCTGGGCAACGGTGGTTTCAACAACTTACACCCAGTTGGATGTCATCCTTGCCGAGGAACATGGGGTGGCCGCCCATGAGGGTCACAGCGGCCTCGGTCGAGACGCGGGTCCTGGTACTCCGCTTGTTGAACATCATGGCCACGGTCCGTCCCTTTAGCTTGCCGTCCAAAGTCTGGGGTACCTGACCGGGGCCGGCAGCGAAGGCGGCCTTAGTGGCCTGCTTATAAGCAGAAGCATTGAGGACCAGCTTGGAGAACTCGGCGGGGCTAAGCTGGCTGATGGAGAGAAGATGGCGGGGCGCCGCACTGCTGCCGGCGTTGGACGCAGCGCGAGTCTGGATCTGTCCGACAGCGGACTTGACGCAGCGAGTAGTTGCCCGAGACATCATGATGGCGATGGGTGAGGTGTGGGAATGGGTATCTAGTGGGGACAAGGAAGGAGAGAAAAGTTCAGGAAAGAAAAGAAGTGCTATGGGGTATCTTGAGAAACGAGAGATGAGTTATGAGAAGGAAAGTGAGTGAGTCAAGAAGAGTTGGTTCGGGGGAGGAAAAAAGATTGCAGTAGTGTTTATCAAGGCTTTTCCCACTTCCACTTTATGAATCGATTCGCGAACCGTGACTCTTCTCAGGCACCCCCTTGTGTCTGAAAACCCCGGTCTTTCGTCCTTTCTCTTTTTGCCTTCGCCAGGCGAACAGATACACGATGCACGAGACGGCCCCAGACTTTCGGAATAGCCTCTTCCTAGTTTGCAAATCCACACTCAAAGAACGAAATGATTAAGTAGCTCACTGTTAAGGGTCCTAACAGGGATGTGCTTGATGGTAGGGAATGGGTCAATTGAGCCAAAAAGATAACAGCCAAGAGTTGAATTGGAGAACATTTTGATTTCTATACTCGACTGATACCGGTTCTCCATGCCAGTCTCTTTCAGGCTTTTTGGAGCTCTCTTGGGGTTGGGGTATGATGGAGGGGCTCACACACACTCACGTTGCAATTCACACAACTCACACTTCCTCAACAGTCACATTCAAACAGTCCAGTCACAGCTGTTTCCCGCCTCCAACCGCCAATTGAGCTCAGCATCATGATGTGGTGTGTCAGTCGACGCCCTTGTCGCGGATAAGAACCCTAGCGCAAAAACGGCTACATGCAGGGCTGACGAATTGGAGCTTGTTCAATGGCTGGCTTCTTGAGCTTCACTCCACAGCACGACGGGACATGTCAGTGGGGTGTCTGGGCACAGTGGGCAGGCCGGGCTTCTCCATGTTGCGGGTTGCGGCTCCACTGATTCCGTCCAGTCCATCCGTGCAATGCCGTGCCATCCATCCATCCACTGGGAATTTGAATGCAACCATCACCAATCCCGTTGCGGGAGGGTGAGGGCAAGAGTGCTTCCTTCCGTGTTCCGGCCCGGGAGGTCAGGCAAATGAACATGCAGGCACGGCAGAGCCAATCAAGCCATTCTCGGTCGTGCACAGCCAGGGGAGGCAAAGGAAATGCCCAGAGCCAAGCAATCACTTCAGAGCAGCCTTGCGGGCAGCTGCCCACTGAAAAGCCGTTAGCTTTGGTGCGGTTTTGGTGCGGCACTAACTGCATAGAGGCACTGTTGACCTGTAAAACAGTGCCAGCTCACTCGTCCAGCTGTTAGCCTGTTAGTGCAGGGCTCGTGATGTGACACAAAATGATCCATCCGTCGGCTGCATGCCCAACCTCAATCTCGACCTCGATGAAACACCAACCGCCTGCTTTGTCCTTACAACATCGTCTTCCAGTGTAACTTGTCATTGCGGTGCATCTTTGATTGACACTCGTCAATTCGCTTTGGATATATCAACCGTCATGATCTTTTTGTTTGTTTGTTTGTTTGTTCTACGCTTTGAGTAGCCCAGCTGCCCCAGGGCTAACACCCGACCGTTTATGTCGTCATCGCAGGAGCGTCCAAGCTCGGATCTGCTATTGCTCGTCTGCCGCGATCCGAACGGGTGTTTCTGAAAACAAATCCATCGTTCATTTCACCGAATCATTACCTCTTTCAGCTTTTGCACTTCATGAAAGCATAAATACCACATCCAGTGTCATCTTTTCGATATGTCGTCTTCCGACAGCGGTACCGAGCGGTCCCCTCTACTCGCAGCGTCGACAAGCAGTAGGGACAGCAAGACGCTGGCCGATTCAACCGACGGAGCACTCGAGTCTACGCCGCTGCTTTCGACGTCCAATACGACACCACGCTATAACGGAGAACGCGATGATCCAGACAGAGTGTCTTTGGCCTCTGCTGGGGCTTCTCATTCTGGAGGCGCAGAATCACCAGCCGGATCAACAAAGAAGTCGACGCGATGGCCCTCTATTATCGCTGCGTTAGTGCTGATGGTACTTGCGGCTTCCATCGCTATCGGCGCCTTTTTTGTTCCAGCTGCGGTTGAGGAATATGCCAAGGAGGCTATCGTCATCGAGCCGACGAACTTGGCGCTCGAATCCATCACCACCGACGGTGTCCGCGCGCGCATCCAAGCAAACTTTCGGCTTGACGCTACGCGTGTCAAAAATGTCCATGTTAGACGGGTCGGCCAGTTCACCACGTGGCTGGCCAAAGAGCTGGCGACAGAGGAGACGAGGGTCAAGGTCTATTGGATCGACCACGACAACATGTTGCTCGGAACTGCTGCCCTCCCTCCCTTGACCATTGCCATCGCGAATGGTCATAATACCGAGCTCGACATCGTTGCCGATCTGGCGCCTGGTGATGCCGATACTATTCGGACCATTGCAAACCAGTTCTTGGCCGGAAAGATGGATACAATTCGTGTACGGGGAACGACGGATATCACTGTCAAGACAAGATTCAACATTCCCCTCGGAACACACGCTGTTTCGGAAACAATGGAGTTTGAAGGTCAATCCCTCTACCGTCCCTTTGCAGCATTGTTATTTGGCGAGAAGTCGTTCTTTTAATGAGAGATAAACATATCTTGTGCCCCGATATTGTGTCCTTTTCCACCATGATGACCTTGAATACCATGCTGATACGCTTCTTGTAGGCAAGGAATTGCCCCCGATCCCCTCCTACAACATTACCGGTCTTAACTTTGAAGAGAGGCCCTTACCCGGCGGCGATAAGGAAGGAATGGCAGCCGACGTTACCATCACCACCTTTAATCCGTATCCAGTTGCTTTTGACGTGCCTAGTCTCAAGTTCGAGGTCCTGGTTCCGGGATGCAAGAAGCATGGCCCGGCCATTTCTGTCGCTACCGCCGTAACCGATGTCATTGCCCTTAGGCCGGAAGCCGATGTCGCAGTCACCGCCCATTCCATTGTTGAGGAATTGCCAGGACCCCTTACCCGCCCCTGCCCTGGTGGAACCATGTCGCCGTTGGACAAACTCTTTGAAGCCTACCTCGCGGGTCAGCCTGCATCCGTTCTTGTACGAGGTCAGAAAGATCAAGGTGGAGAGGCCCCTGGCTGGATTGGGGATATCATCTCCAGTGTTACGGTCCCCGTACCTCTTCCGCAGCAATCCTTTGACGACTTGATTCGCAACTTCTCTTTGACGGACGTATCATTCTCCTTGCCAGACCCGTTGGCAGACCCCGATGACCCCGATTCAAACCCCAAAGTGTCGGGCACTATCGTTGCCTTGGCAGCCCTCCCTTCTGAACTCAATATTGGATTGAACGTCTCCCATGTCCAAGCCAAGGCTGATGTGTTTTATCACTCCAGGAAGCTTGGAGAACTGGAAATTGATGAGAAGGCCAGCTCCATTCAAATCGAAGGCGGTCCCAGTGAAGAAAGCTTGATTGAGATCACATCACGCGTTCACGATACTCCACTCAAGGTCACCGACAACGATGTTTTAACCGACGTTATTCAGGCCCTCCTTTTCGGTGACGTCAATGTCATTCTCGACATCAGTGCTCTTGTCGATGTTGGCGTACATACAATCCTTGGACAGTTTGTGGTGAAGGGTGTCCCCGCGGAGGGCAGAATTCCGCTCAAACGTCCGTCTCTTCTCCAATGATATTCTGTCAGTCACCTTGCTGTTGGCGGTTACGCATCTTTTGCCGATGCTATCCACCAGTCACTCACGCATACCCCATGGACATTTCAGAAAACTAACGTCTCGCTCTTTCACTAGCCCTTGGAAACGACCTTCTCAGCTCTATGCAGCCTCAAGTTGGGAACCTGGAAGTTGTCGATACTAGCCCTGTCTCAATATCTCTCCAGGCGTCGGTCAACGTGACCAACCCTACCCCGTACGCGGCCTACATCCCTTGGATTAGCATACACATTCTGAACAACGGAACCGTTCTCGGCGAGGCGCGCGCAAAGAAACTGACCATCAAGCGTGGAAACAACACAAATTTGAAAGTGACAGCTATATGGAGGCCTTCGTTGGGGGATGGGGATGGCGAAAAAATAGGCCGGGATCTGATTTCACAGTACATATCCGGCTACAACACAACCGTTACGCTTAGGACACATCCAGGTACTATCCCATCAAAGCCGGAGCTCGGCATGGCTCTATCAAAATTCAATTTCACGCTCCCAATGCCTAGGCTTAACATGCCTGGCGACAATGAGGGCGGACGACACGATGGAAACGGCAGCTCCAATGACACGGCTCCTCACTTTATTCGGGGCGCAACCTTTCACATATTTTCCTCCACAGCAATATTTACATTGGCTTCGCCCTTTACACGAAACACCATTTATATCGAGCATATCAATGCTACGGCCTTGTACAACCACACCGAGGAAATTGGACGTATCAAGTACGATTCCCCGTTTAGCTGCCCTCCAGGGGTGTCCACAACGCCTAGATTGCCGGTGGACTGGTCTCTGGATTCGGTTGGACGTGATAAGCTGAAGGAGGCACTTAATGGTAGGCTGAAGCTTGATGCAAAGGCTAACGTCACAGTGAGAGTTGGGTCCTGGACAGAGACGCTGTGGTATATCGGAAGGGGGATAGGGGCGAGTGTCCGCTTGTAAGTGAAGGACACGTGACGTTTGGTCATGATTTGGATTAGGAGGTCTGCTTGAATGGTCTTTTGGATTGTATGGTTGAAATATTGCTCAAGTGTTTGTTCATCGGGCTCGACTTCTGTCGTCTTATTTGCCGTTGAGTATGCGATTTTGTTTACTGGGTTATGTATAGGAGTTACCGGCGTTGGGGGTAAACAATTTGCAGAGACGATCGACATGGGAGAAACAAGAGTACATAGAGCAGTGGAGCTGTTGGAAGCTACTGTATATCAGAACTATAAGTAACTGAACGAGATAAACCTGAAGGATGCATTTGACAATTCCTTCTTCTTCTCTTGTTCACTTTGTGGGGCTGGTTGCTAAGGCAACTGTATCTTGAAGCTGGGAAAGGGGCTAGCTCTTGGGGTTGTTGTTGTTGGAGAACGAGACAGCCCTGGTAACGGCCTTAGAGAAACCTGACACTAGGAAAAGGACCGCACCGTTACTGCACCTGGCCGGCCATCTATGAAGGAAATTAAAAAGAGAGAAATGGAATAATTGTAATAGATATATGGAATAACGAGAAACTAATTTCGTACGTACTGTTCTGACCATCGTTCGTTATCAGTATGTGCTTCCCCGCATTTTTTGGACGCTACAACTGCAGCCAACTCTACACTACCAATTTACAAAAGTGGAAATTTCTGATTTTTTTCCAAAGCCTGCGCACCTTGACGACCAGGCACCAACACCTAACCCACTCGACATCAAACTTTCAAGAATCACTTTCACTGTTGTGGACTTGATTGTTTTACATTTTTCCGTACCTGACACAGCCAAGTCAAGTACTTCGAGTCAATCCACCCATCATGGCTGCTCAAATGTCTACCTCGGCGGCTCAGTCTGAGCCTCGTCGTGACAACTACAGCTCCGGCTCAGACGCTGGCTCAGACTCCTCCTCTTCCGGTGACGAGGATGAGTGGCAAGACCAGGAAGAAGAGCAGGAGGAGGCCCCCGCCATCATCTCCTTGCTCGACGACCATGTCTTCCCCGACGTTGTGTCCATGCTGAACTACTGCAAGGACAAGGGTCTTGATTTCCTTGCCATTCGCGACCGTCTGAACTTGGACTTTTACGGCTTGATCAAGCTCATCAACTTCAGTAAGTTCCATGTCTTATAGTAAGTTAAATACCACATTTACTGACAACAACTTAGTCCGCTCCAAGGTCCATGAGGGCGCCGCCATTCCCACTGAGATCACTGCCGCCGATCTGGAGGATGACAAGTATCTCAAGCCCGTCCTCGATGACGATGCCTTGATTTTCTGCCTGGATGATCTCCCCGAGTCCAGCGGTGCCGGTGCTGAGGCTTCTACTGCCGACGCCGAGAAGGGCGCGGGTGCGCCTGTGGATGAGTTGATTCAGAAGAACGCCGAGCTCCAAGCTCGGCTTGAGCAGTTGTCCAAGCAGTTCTCCAACTACCGCCTCGCCGTCCAGCAGACCCTCGATCAGCGCTGGCAGGCAGATGACGACGACAAGGATGCTGCTTCCAAGGGCAAGGCCGCCGCTGCTGCCGCCGCCGCTACTACTGGTATGCCTTCGGCCCCGGCCCCCGAGGGTCCTGCCGCCAAGGACGGTGCTTCGGACTACTACTTCGAGTCGTACGCGCACAACGACATCCACGAGACCATGCTCAAGGACACTGTGCGCACCGAAGCCTACCGCGACTTCATCTACCAGAACAAGGACCTTTTCGCCGGCAAGGTGGTTCTCGACATCGGCTGCGGCACGGGCATCCTGTCCATGTTCTGCGCCAAGGCGGGCGCGAAGCAGGTCATCGCGGTCGACCGCTCGGAAATCATCGACAAGGCGCGCGAGAACATCTACGCCAACGGCCTGTCAGACGTCATCGTCACCCTCAAGGGCCGCATCGAGGAGGTCATCCTGCCCGTCGAAAAGGTCGACATCATCGTGTCCGAGTGGATGGGCTACTGCCTGCTGTACGAGGCCATGCTCAACTCCGTCCTCTGGGCCCGCGACAAGTATCTCACCCCGCAGGGTCTGATGGTCCCATCCCACGGCAACATGTGGATCGCGCCCGTGTCGGAACAGGAGTACATTGCCGAATACATCGACTTCTGGCGCGACGTGTACGGCTTCGACATGAAGGTGATGCAGAAGGGCATCTACCAGGACTGCCGCATGGAGGTCCGCCCCGCCGAGACCGTGTGCGGCACGCCCGCCTCCTTCGGCCTGCTCGACTTCCATACCGTCAAGGTCGAGGACTTGACCTTCACGGCCAAGTGGGCGAGCACCTTCTCCGACAAGGCCGAGAGCCACGACGGCTTCTTGGCTTGGTGGGATGTCTTCTTTGCCCGCGACCGCGTCGACGAGTCCATCAAGATCGACACCAAGGCGCAGGAGTGGGTTGCTGAGACCAAGGGCAAGTGCGGCGACAGGGACGCCCGCGTAGCCTTCACTACTGGCCCCTTCGGTGAGCCTACCCACTGGAGACAAGGCCTGATGCTTCTCGACAAGAACAAGGTCAAGGTGACGAAGCCGGCTCCTGGCCAGAAGATTGCCGGTGAGATTGAGTATATCACGGCCGAGAACCACGAGCGCGGATTGAACTTGAGGGTTACTTGGGCTGCTGAGGGCGAGAAGGAGCAGACTCAGACTTGGCTGTTGCACTAGTGGGATAACATTGAGTGGCGTCTGGCGCTGTGAAAATAAACAGGTCTGGAGGGTTTCTTTTATCTTAGGACGGGTTACATTTATTATACTAGACCCAAAACTGCGAAGCACTATATAGCCGGTAAACGTGATGCGAAGAGTGACGTACGTGTTTGTGGGCAATGGTCATTAGAATCTAACAGCCCAAAAAATTGTGCATTGCTGAATGTCTTCAATATCTAAGGCCGTTATAGTCAGGCACCTGTGCATATCAACCGCTATTTAACTCGCAAACTCTAGCCCTCCAACAAGAACGCGCAGGCGCAAGGGTAATATGTAACAAGGAGCAGTTCATGTCCATGCTCTTTGTGGCCTTCAATCCCCAGAAATCAAGGCAAACCCGGCCTGCGTCATAACATCCTTCCTCCCCTCCCATGCATGGTATCTGCGTATCCGCCTATAAACAATATTCCGGTTTTGTGTAACATTTTTTTTCCAGTGCCGAATCCAAAAGAACGTATCCGACTTTAACCACCCACACGTTCCTGAAATTCTCCAATTTATTTACTCCCCGTCGGTCCCTGCGGCCCTGGATTCGAAGGCCCACCAGCTTCTCCTCCATCCTTCGGCTTATACTTGGGCATCTTCTCATACGCATTCGGACTCGGTCTCCTTTCCCTCTTCTTTTTCCCTTTATCGCTGGATTTCCTCCCACGCCCGTCATGATCATGGTTACAGCCGCCTTCTCCGTGATCGTGATCATGGTTATGGTTATGGGAGGAGTGTCCGTGGCAGCCCCTACCACCACTTCCACCACTTCCGCCACCGCCGCCGCCGCCAGATGTGATGCGTTTATCCATATCAGGTTCGGAATCAGAATCAGAATCGGAGGATGAAGAAGAGTCGGAAGAGGAATCGTCGCTGGACTCGTCTACGCCTTTTGGTCGGTGGTAGATACAACAGACTGTTTGTGTGCCGATAATTGTCAGCATGACTTGTACATGGATGTGTATGTCAAGTCCGCGTGGAAAGCAGGTGAGGGGAGCAAACGAGCAAACGAGCAAAACTAACCTTTGGACTTCTTCCTGCCAAGACCTTCGTTGTCAACGACATCGCTACGCCATTGTACTGATCGCCCGTTCGAGTGTGCGCCGCGTAATCGCAAGATGGCCGGGGCAGAGGTATCGGTTTGCGTTTGGGTTGGGGCGGCGGTTTGGCTGGTGGATGGTTGCGCTGGTTGCGCTTGCCGTTGGGCGACGGAGGCCATTTTGATTGTGATTGCGATTGTAATTGTTGTGTATGTGTTTGGTGTTTTCCTTTGAACGGATTGTGTTTGAACGAGTGGTTGTACCGTTCTATGAAGTAGTTTTAGGTGGTCGTAGATGGATGTTGTCGGGTGTATCGAAGCAGAGGGTTCCCGGGAGCGCTGCTATTTGACAAAGGCGCGGCGGTTTCAAGGGTGGTGTGATCTGTCCGAGAAAGGAGTTAGGTGATCGTCATTCGAAGGTCTTCCAGTCATGCGACAACAATTGCGGTCTGAGTCTTTGGAAACTTGGCGATCGCCGCTTGCTGACGAGGAGCGTGCCTGGCAGGAACTGGAACTTTTATGCGACTGGACTCTCGCCGCGGGGTTCCAGGCTGTTCCGTCGTTATCTTGATCTGGTAGCTCTCGGCCCGTCTCCCTGGGCCTCGGTGTCGTGCAATGGGTATTGGTTGGCAGATGGTAGTACCTTCTCGACTTCGAATAGGCTGGAAATGGACGCGAAGGTGTGTGATAGGTGTGTGTTCAATATTGAATACGTTAACAGGCCGCGGTGTGTGTATGGTTAATGGCCGTTAGAGCAACTCGGGCCTGAGATGACGGAAGGACCGCGGCCGCTGAAGGTTTTCGGTTTTGGCGCCTTTTCCCCACGTCCCTTCGTCATTCCATCTTCCACATTCCATTCGCCAAGACCAACAGAATGGACACAGACAATGCCTGGGCAGCCAATCACAGGTGGGGCGAAGATCGTCTGCGGGAAGGAAGCCGGAAGTGGCAGGATTGACAGGATCCCTGGCAGCCGAAGCGCAAGCGTCCGCAGCGTTCGGTTCTCTCACATAACCCTGATGGCAGGTCACTACTTTAACCCTGAACGAAAGTCCCAACAATGCCCCTGAATTGAGCCTCATTGTATTATCGGGAAGGGACCACTGCAAACAAACAAACCAGTTTTTTGGATACCCATCTACGTATCCATGGTATATCCTTTCCACGTGCCTGTTGGTCCATTAAAGTTTTTCGTTGGTTTTCGGGACGTTGCGTCTGTTTACACGTCAAAGAATGAGGATGGGAGGTTTGAGTGTCGAATGGTGAGGCCGTAGGAAAGGGTAGCACACATTCCGTGACGTCCTTTTTTACATCAATCATGGCTTGCTCAGTTCAAGTTGGTCCTCATTTCTGCGGTTCATTGCCTTGTTCAAGCGGTTACGCTTGCATCTTGTAGAAATTCAACAACAGAAAGCGGTGCCGGTCCAGTCCACTCCAGCCTAAAGTCAATCTTGCGAATCATTCACCCCATGAGTGTCAGTAGGATGTTCGTGTTCAGCAGCTGGCGTGGCAGCACAATAGAAGCATCTTATATCCGTGATCCTTGAGCTTGTGAACCTCTTTGAATGCTGTGCTGCCTCAGAAGACCAACATCATCAAGCACCACCAAACACCCCGCCTCTCCCGCGTCGCACAACGGGAGTGTCGATGCTTGCCAACATTCACTGGTCCTCATTGCCGTCCTTTTGCTGTTGGCAAAGCTTCCGGCAATCGGCCCACCCGTAAAACAGTCCCAGCTTCCACCGGCTTCCTGCCTTTGCCTGCTCTTGACTGAACTGTCCCTCACTGCGTTGGACTGCCTTTCTCTGCCCTTTTCTGTTCTTTCTCCCCGTCCACGTTCACGATCCCCAGCTTCGTTCCCGACCAACGGATATTTGTATATCCCTTCTGCAACCACCCACCTTGCATCCCCGCCCCCGGTTTGGGACCAGGACCCTTTCCCATACTTACCTTACTTTATCTACAACAACAACACCCGATCTCCCGGCCTTTCTTCCTTCCTCTGTCTGTTTCCCTACCACACCGCCTGGCGCGACCGCATTCTCTAGTCCTAATATTCGCAACTCCGGCCTGGAATATTCGACATAGCCCGTGCGTGGCCATCCAGTTTAAAAACAGCAGGAACGACACTCTTTCGTGGCCCCGTGACAGTCTGGCTGGCTCCTGTGACGTCAAGGTTGACCTAAGCGAACAGCATCGTGGTACCGCAGTACAACTGCCTGCCCCCCCCCCCCCCCC